GTCGTCGTAGTCGTTGTAAACTTTTCACATTTTCATCTTCTTCTCAAGAACCACTGGGCCAATTTCAACCAAACTTGCCACAAAGTATCCTTGGGTGAAGGGGATTCAAGTTTGTTCAAATGAAGGGCCACGCCCTTTTCCAAGGGGAGATAATCATGAATAAGAGAAATATTATTGGCATTTTTAAAAAATCTTCTTCTCAAGAACCACTGGGCCAGGAAAGATGAAACTCATGTGGAATCATCCTCAGGTAGTGTAAATTAAAGTTTGTTCAAGTCATGACCCCCAGGGGTTGGGTAGGGCCAAAATGGCCGATCAAAGTTTTACATAGGAATATATAGGAAAAATCTTTAAAAATCTTCTTCTCAAGAACCACTGGGCCAGGAAAGATGAAACTCATGTGGAATCATCCTCAGGTAGTGTAGATTCAAGTTTGGTCAAGTCATGACCCCCAGGGCTAGGGTGGGGCCAAAATGGCGGATCAAAGTTTTACATAGGAATATATAGGAACAATTTTTAAAAATCTTCTTCTCAAGAACCACTGAGCCAGGAAAGATGAAACTCATGTGGAATCATCCTCAGGTAGTTAGATTCAAATTTGTTCAAGTCATGACCCCCGGGGGTAGGGCGGGGCCAAAATGGCCGATCAAAGTTTTACATAGGAATATATAGGAAAAATCTTTAAAAATCTTCTTCTCAAGAACCACTGGGCAAGGAAAGATGAAACTCATGTGGAATCATCCTCAGGTAGTATAGATTCAAATTTATTCAAGTCATGACCCCCGGGGGTAGGGGGGGGGGCCAAAATGGCCGATCAAAGTTTTACATAGGAATATATAGGAAAAATCTTTAAAAATCTTCTTCTCAAGAACCACTGGGCCAGGAAAGATGAAACTCATGTGGAATCATCCTCAGGTAGTATAGATTCAAATTTATTCAAGTCATGACCCCCGGGGGTAGGGGGGGCCAAAATGGCCGATCAAAGTTTTACATAGGAATATATAGGAAAAATCTTTAAAAATCTTCTTGTCAAGAACCACTGGGCCAGGAAAGATGAAACTCATGTGGAATCATCCTCAGGTGGTGTAGATTCAAGTTTGTTCAAGTCATGACCCCTGGGGGTAGGGCGTGGCCAAAATGGCGGATCAAATTTTTACATAGGAATATATAGGAAAAATCTTTAAAAATCTTCTCAAGAACCACTGGGCCAGGAAAAATGAAACTCATGTGGAATTATCCTCAGGTAATGTAGATTCAAGTTTGTTCAAGTCATGACCCCCGGGGGTGAGGGTGTGGCCAAAATGGCCGACCAAAATTTTACATAGAAATATAAAGGGAAACCTTTTTAAATCTTCTTTTCAAGCACTTCAAAGCCATGATTAGTAATATTTATATGGAATCATCCTCAGGTAATGTAGATTCTAGTTCGTTCCAATTATGATCCCCTTGGGGGTTAAAATTCAAGCCCCCCTCCCCCCCCACTTAAGTTAACTTTCAGTTCTGATTTGATATGTGTTTTTTTCCTAGCTGATGTGCTCAGGTGAGCGCTGTGGCCCCTGGGCCTCTTGTATTTAATCCTGCTATCCTGGGATGACTTGTAGTTAATCCTGCTGTCCTGAAATGGCTTGTAGTTAATCCTGCTATTCTGATATGTTTTGTAGTTAATCCTGCTATCCTGGGATAACTTGTAGTTAATCCTGCTATTCTGAGATGACTTTTTGAATTATTGTCATCTCCCTCGGGAGATGACACATTAAGATTGTATGCCGGAAGTGAAGTCCTAGTCTAAGCCTCCATTAATCTTTCGGGAGTCCTCGATGTTTTACATAGTCTCGTTCAACCAGACCCTAGGCTGTCTCCGTAAATCTCCGACCACCCAGAGGGTCTGGTAAAGATACGTAATATCGTTTGTAACGCCAAAACGAGGCTTACCAAAATTCTGGTAAAGTTTTTGATTGGCTGAAAAGAACACACCTCCATAATTTAAACGAATACATGGTAAATCGACAGAAAAATAACTTAAAGTTTTAAAAGTTAAATGTCTAAATGTTAAAGCAGATAAAGAGGAATAATTTTATTGTTTACGGTAATGTCAACGGGTTAAAGGTAAGTGTGCTTTATAAAATGTCTTGCCTTTTTTTTTATTTCCGGAAGTTAAAGTGAAAGTAATGCAGCTGCCTGCGGAATATATATTTCTTCGATTGATATTGTAATTACTCGTTTTATGTCCAAAATTAAAGATCAGTTTATCAATATAAACTCACAATCTAACAGAAGAAACATGTTAAATATTCGTTTCAAAAAAAGGTCATCAAAACATAAACAAGATAGCGCCCTCTGACGGTAACAAACGCTTATGTGACTCTTTACCAGACTCTCTGCTGGTCGGAGTTTACGGAGACAGCCGAGCGTCTGGTTGAACGAGACTATGTTTTACAGAGTTCCAAGTAGCCTGTAAACTGGTTTTCTTTTAGAAGAACTAGCTTAGGAGTATGTTATCTACTTTCGGTTTAGGCCTATTTGAAAGCAAAGGAAAATTTAGAAAAGAAGTACGATGCTTATAAATATCTCAAGTTTTGGTGTGTCGTATATATATTGATCCTCAATACTATGCCTTATCAAATTGGTAAGCCACACAAGGAGAATTGACAATGACGTGATTTCTATATATAGATTTGTTGACGCGAAGGGAAAAACTGGTTCTCGCACACAATTAGATTCTGCAAAAAATGTATGAAGAGTGGTCAACGCTAATTTTATGTTAAGTTTTAGTCTGTAATTGGATTTATTAAATTAATTCCTGTCAATCTTTAATGATTAGCTGCTTTTAAATGAATGATAATTATTGTTGATAATTCCGTATTATGTTAAGAAAATATAGTTCAAGGAAAGTATTTGAATTTAAGTAAATTGTAAACACCCAGAAGCACAAAGGCCGCTAGAATTAAATGTCACCAAACATCGCCTTGGGTGCTCTCGCAGACGTCCATGCTTTCCATAATTATATGTACTGCGGCTAAAAGAAACTGCGAACTTTACTGTGGAGTTTGCTGAATAAGTCATTTGGGAACTTCAGGTGTAATAATCCATATGTTCATTGCATTAAAATATTTCCCTTTCTGTTTTATTTCTTTGACATTATTGATACCAAAGAGATGACATTTCAGGCTTTCTGGAAAGCCAAACTTGTCTGCTTTAAGTTTATATTCTTTGTGGTTTAAGTTTTAAGTTTGTGTGTTTGTTGCCCCTCTCGAGAATGTTTTAATCTTAATGAGACTTCACCACTTGCCAGTTGGTTTTTTACTCAGCGGACAATAGTGTTTTTAACAAATGTTTCTCAACGAATCAGATTTAATTAATTTACATGAATGTATAATATCAAATAATGAATTTTTTCATTGGTAGCAGTAAATACCCTTTTTCATATTCTTCAATTTATATAGCTAGAGCAGCTATCTTACGATTTTTTCTATGTCCAAAAGCATCACATCAATAGCACAGTTTTTCATCCTTCCTCTTATTTTATACATTTATTTACAATTAAAAGTAAATGGGATTTGGCAGCAGGCAAAGTCTATTTTAGCCCCATCCCTTCGTCTTGTTTTCAACATTAAACGTTTGCCATATGTATAATAAATAACAAGAAATCTGTGAGCCAGTGCTCACTAGTAATACCCCCGCTCTGATGTAAATAAGCACTATCATATTAATATACACAAGTTCAATTACAGGCAGATGAAGTTAACATCAGATTCATATCAAAATTAATCCCACCATATGGCATGCCTCAACAAAGTCGGTAATAAAATTTCAAGCATCTGCTATGAATAGCTAATGAGAAAACTGCTACGAAGATTTGTCATGTATGAAACGGACAGACGCACAGACAAACAGGAAGTTGATATCGGATTTAAACAAAAATGTATCCCACCATATGGCATGCCTCAGAGAAGATTGTGTTAAAATTTCAAGCATCTACCGTGAGTAGTTGCTGAGAAAACTGTGACGAAAATTTGTATGAAACGGACAGACGCACAGACAAACAGGAAGTTGACATCGGATTTGAGCAAAAATGTGTCCCACCATATGGCATGCCTCAGAGAAGATTGTGTTAAAATTTTAAGCATCTACCATGAGTAGTTCTGAGAAAACTGTGACGAGAATTTGTAATATATGAAACGGACAGACACACAGACAAACAGGAAGTTGACATCGGATTTGAGCAAAAATGTAACCCACTATATGGCATGCATCAGAGAAGTTTGTGTTAAAATTTCAAGCATCTACCGTGAGTAGTTGCTGAGAAAACTGTGACGAAAAAATGTTTCGGACGGACACACAGACACATGGACACACAGAAAGACAGACAGACAGACACACAAGGGTAAAACAGTATACCCCCCCTCTCCTTCGGAGCAGGGGTATAATTAAATTCTACTAGTATTTTCCAGCATTATTGAAATTTCAATGTATATTTCAGTAAATATAAGTGTGTAATATTGTTGAACATTTTGGTTCACAGAAAGGAAATAAACTTTATTTCCTTGCCCAGATGATAATTTTTCCATTATTGTTTGGTTGAAATGAAAGAAAAGAAACTTAATTTAAATGATTGCAAAAGTCAATCATTGTAGCCATTGGGCATTAAAAATTAAGCTTATCTTTTCTCCATTATGAAAGAATTATTTGATATTACTTTGCATATTTGTTGCTTATTTCTAAGTTATTGGAATATGAAATTTTTGTTGTTGCTGTTTAGATATTTTTTGTGCAGCAAAAAACACATTGAAGCCACAAAGTTGACCATCATTCGTCACACATTCGTTGTTCCACCATATGACCAATATATGACCTTAACAAGAGAAATAATTCAAGGTCATTTGGACAAAGTCAAATGCATCTCAAGTAACTTCCGTGGAATAGAGACATTCATGCTTTTGTTCTTTATGTAAGTAAAGAAGATTTTACATTCCAGTTTATGCTTTATCATTATAAAGACAATGCGTTTCTTTTATATTCCAGACACGCGCTCATCGTCTATTGACGTGGAAGTTATGAATTACACGGGGCTCCCTCTACCGGCGCCCATAGGTCAAAATATCACCGTGACACTAAAAGTAACAGGTCACGGGGCCTCTGAGTGGAGGAATGTGACGTGTAGGTGGGAGTTACTGGGGCGCAACACAGAATGTTACAGAGTCCCAGACGACACAGGAGAGTTCCTGATAGATGTGATGGCGAAAACTGCATTGAACCAAACTCCTGGTGTATATGTGCTAACAGTTTACGTCAGTTTGGGACGGAAGTCGCAAAACAGGGCCATACTTCTTCGCTTTGAACACGTAAATGACAACGAAAAGGTTTGTAAAGTTTGTAAGGAGAGAAATTTGTTTTGATTTTTAAAGATAAAACTTTGAAGAGAGTTTGTTATTATAAATTTAAACTACATAACATGTTTAATTAATATGCAAATCAAATAAATGATGTTCTGTGTAACAATTTCCAGTAAAATTTGAAGTACATATAAAATTCAAACAAAATTTATACATATACAGTGAGAACTGCAGTCTAATCCGAAACCTGTATAATCCGTCACTGTGAATTCCGACATTATTTCCATTTTTTTTAAAAATATTTTTGTACACTGTCTTAGCCGACACCCTGTCTATTCCGACATAAAATTTCCCTCCTAGTGGATGTTGGATTAGACAGGTTTCACTGTATAATCTACGTTGCTTTGGGACAAATCACTGATGAAAATTAACATTTATCAGGAAGTGACTGTGGTCTATCACAATTAGATCACTTTTTATTAGAGGGAAAAACTTCCTTAATTTTTAAATTGTGACGATGCGAATTAAACTTTGAAAATAGCACTCGTCACTACATGTTTCGTTTCAATCTTTATTCATGAAAATCCAAAAAGTTACTTTCACCCGCTAAAACTTTAACACCTGAAACTACATGTAAACTCTCAGACACACATCACATCTTATGCTTTTATCTCCACACTAAACATAAAACTTATACAATAGTGTCATTGATACTGTGGGACGGGAGGGGGAGAGATGACAAAATTGATAAATACAACACAGATGTTGAAACATCAAAGTAAAATACACAAAACCACTCCTTGACAAAATCTACATACACATGAGATTTATGTGATCATGTAAGAAGGTGATTTTCTACTTTAAAAAAGATATATTATAAGCGTACAATCTCCATGAAGCCTCAAAGATGAGAAGCATTAAATAAGGCTTGCGAACCACATATCTAGTATAACGAAAAGAATCTGGGTAAATTACGTCCGATAAAATAAAAAAAAAATACTGTCTTTCAGGAGGTACCAAAGCAAGAAGTCATAGGAGTATCAAAGTTCAATGCTTCTGTTAACATTGGAAGTAACCAATTCAACGAATGGATTCTACCCAACGCTTTTTGCTACGGACAGACTGTCGATCTAAACTTCGCTAGCGGATATTTTGTCTTGTTTTCCTCTAATGGAGTCAAAACTGTAGTTCAAACATTTTTGAAACACGCTGATAAGGTCACGACTCTGGCACCAAACTCGAAACAAACAAAAATTCGACCAAAACTTTGGAAACCCACAAAAGAAGGATGGTCATCAACAGACAGTCAGTTACATACAATAACGTCACTGGGGTTTCCAAAGAAAACGCCTTTACCCCTTCTTCAGAATGCGTCGTTTGAAGCATCTTCGGTGTCAGAGATACCCCAGACTACTACTAGTCAGACCAGTCAGACCACATATACAACCTTAGTAAAGACGAACCCCACAACTCCCCAACCGCGGAGGAATACAAAGTTTCCAGCAGTCGAACTTTATTCTGCAAATAACACGAAGTCTAATGTTACCAGTTATTTTTTCATCGTCTCTAATTATCGCGACAAGATACAGATTTGCATTAATTTTGGGGATGGGACAGAAAAAACACTCAATTTAACTCAAAGCACAACTATTACTCACGTGTACAATAAGACAGGCAACATGACAGTTAAACTAAGTGTGTTTCTCAGAAACAAAGAAGAACTTTCCATTTTCCGCTATATTATGGTTCTTAATCACCATTGCTTTCAATCCACACCAATGTTTGACATTCGAAATTCAGTACCATCTAACCCTTTAACGGTTTTCTTGTTCTCTGAGATCATCATTAAAAGTAGAAAGCAATATGATCACCAGTCAGATAGATGTAATACCGATTTTAGGGGTCAGCTGACCTACATATGGACAGTTACCAACACTGAGACGGGAGAAGAAACAGTGTCCACGAGAAACCAACTCTCTCTACCATCACACACCCCGGGGTTGTTCAAAGTTTCCCTCGAAATGCACGCAGAACAGTTTTCCACAACTGGAATTCTGTATATAAAGTTTATATTTAAACATCGGATAAATTTCAACAAAAATATTCTCTGTCAGTTTGTGCCCTACCGTATGGGGAATAACAATGTGGATGCTGCTATTTGGCCGGTCTTGGGTGCAAACATTTCATATTCCTGGAGAGCAATAAGGTAATTTAAGTCATCACAAAACCCAACATTAATGTGGAATTTCCCTAATCTCAATGCGATTTACATGCCCAAGGAACTTAATATTTTCACCATTTATTAAACTAATCCAGGTATCCAATTTTTAGCTCTACTGGTCAGAGACCAGAAGAGCTTATGCGATAGTAATGCGTCCGGACCGGCGTCCGTCTGTCTGTCTGTCTATCTGTCTGTCTGTAAACAATTTTTCGAAATGTTTCTCCTGCTACAGTTTTGGTCTGATTTCAATATAACTTGGCACACAAGTAGACTACACTAAGATACATAATTCTGTGTATTGGTTTTCTGTTTCGATGAAGTGTTGCCGTGGTTACTAAAAATAGAAATTTCTTTGAAATTGTTTCAAAATGCTAATCCTCCTACAGTTTTGGTTTGATTACAATATATCTTGGCACACATGTAGACTACACTAAGTTACACAATTCTCTTTATCGGTTTTTGATTTCGATGAACGGTGTTGCCGTGGTTACTAAAAATAGAATTTTCTGTGAAATTGTTTCAAAAGGCTACTCCTCCTACAGTTTTGGTCTGATTACAGTATATCTTGACACACAAGTAGCCTACACTAAGATACACAATTCTGTATATTGGTTTTCTGTTTCGATGAACGGTGTTGCCGTGGTTAATAAAATAGAATTTTCTGTGAAATTGGTTTAAAATGCTTCTCCTGCAACAGTTTTGGTCTGATTTCAATATAATTTGGCACGCAAGTAGCCTACACTGAGATACATAATACTGTTTATCTGGGGTGCGTTCAACAGCATAGCTGCTACATAGCCACTAAGTAAAGCTACGCTCTTGAACGGCGAGCTAACCTAGCTGCTACGTATGGAGAGCTAGCATAAATATTTAATGCTACGTCCCAAATCCAAGATGGTTTCCTTGGTTACAAATTTGCAGCATTCAAGATTTTTACAAAAAGGAGGGTTATTTCCTATATTTCAGTGAATAAAATGTTAATTTAAATACATGTTTTCGCCTGAAATAAACTTTATTTGATCCAGTAATAAGTTTTTACTGATATATTTTTATTCAAAATGTAACATTTAGCAGCTAGGTTAGCTGTCCGTTCAATAGAGATAGATATCTACTACTTAGCTGCTTGGTTAGCCGATACGCTGTTGAACGCACCCCTGTTTTTGTTTTCGGTGAACGGTGTTGCCATGGTTATTGAAAATAGAACTTTCTGTGAAATACTTTCAAAATACTACTTCTCCTACAGTTTTGTTCTGATTTCAATATTACTTGGCACACAAGTGGACTACACTAAGATACACAAATCGCTATATCGGTTTTTGATTTTTATGAACGATGTTGCCATGGTTACTCAACGTAGAACTTTCTGTGAAATAATTTCAAAATACTACTCCTCCTACAGTTTTGTTTCGATTTCAATATATTTTGCACAGAAATAGACTACGCTAAGATACTTAATTCAATTTTTTTTTTATTTCGATGAACATTATTGCCTTGGTTACTATCGATAGAAATTTCTGTAAAATACTATCAAAATGCTACCCCAAATACAGTTTTAGTCTGATTATAATATAATGTGGGGGTAGACTTTACTTTACCGGTCCCCAGATCCGCAAGATCTCGCGCTCATTGGACTATGACGTAACACCTACGTCACTCAACTGAAATGAGTTAAATTTACACTTTATTCGACTGATTAGGGTTAGTCTTGCACCCACCTGGCAGATTAGGGTTAGTCCTTACATTAGTATATAACTGATTAGGGTTAGTCTCGCATCCATCTGAGAGATTAAGGTCAGTCATTGCACATTATTCGACTGATTAGGGTTAGTTTAGCATCTGCCCGGGAGATTTCGTCTAAACGTCTTAGTCCTTGCATACCATCCGATGGATTAGGGTTAGTGACTTGTTCTTTTAGATAAGTTAAAAATTTCAGTTGTTTCTGTATTTTTCCAAGATCATAATTCAGCTTCAAAGGAATTTATTTCGTTTGTTTACATGGAAGAATAGCTAAGTCCGAAAGAAATGGCACTAAGCATGCGCAGCACGCGCTTCGATCAGAATTATTCCTTGTCGATTTTTTCCATGAATAAACAATATTTATTAATTTTTTCAGAGAACGGGATCAAAAACTACATTTAAAAACGAAGTTTTAAACTAAACTTTTAACCGTAGAATCCGATTTTGGGGTCAAAAGGCCAAAAAACCTCGTATTTAAATTTTTTTTCGATCGCTCACGTGATCTCATATATACTGAAATCCTTCGGCTACACTACATTTTAGCGCGTTTTAGAAATAATCAATCATCATTATTCTATTTAAAGCTGTTGTAAAGTGTCAATTCCCAACTGCTACTTTTCTCTTCCATTGCTACAAGTAAAAACCAGTTGAACTTCAGTCTCTACAGAGACTTCTGGTTTGGTATCACCTTTATGTAAACTACAAATTAAAATGTAAAAATGTATTTCTTTATTGTTGTAGTTTTTTGAGGGGGTTAACATAAGTGAACCTTTGAAGTAAAACTAGATGATACTGTAAACTTTTGACAGTAACAATTCTCAAGTGACCGTTCATGCCTTTTTTTTTGTTTACAGATACTCTAATCTGAGCTTAATTCCTGAAAAATATGAGGCTACAAAATGGATAAATTTGTTCTCCTTGAACTCTACATTCCTCCCTTTCAATATCCACGCCCAAGGAAAAGACAGGGATCGAGGACTTACAGAAATCACGCTGAGTGTCAACTACACGTCATCAGTAGAGAACATTTACCAGTTCGTAGTTGTTAGCGACCTTCAGTGCAACGTAAAGTACGTATTAAACACAAGCACTTGACGTAAACATGATAACTTAACGTCAGGAGCTTGTGGTGCTTGCTTACATTTCATGGTCGGGTTTATAGGGGCTATGTTTTTTGTTACCCGAATCCTGTGGTGTTTTTGATTTTATAGAGTTAGAACAGAAAGACACTTGAATATCCATGTCTTTTATATAATCAAAATCCTTTTCGTCTCGTGACTAGTTTGGACCAGAGCAAGATTAAGTTTAACAATCAAATACAACTTAATTATATTTGATGAAAAATTAAGATGACGAACGTCTTGGAACAAAAATCCATTGATGCGATATAAATACGATGTTAATCCGAAGCAATGCAAAATATTAAAACTGGGATCAGGTGCAGGTACTTTGATCCACCACCGAACTTTCACCTCGCAAGATCTATAGTAGGTAAAATTTATGGATATAATGAACAGTATTTAAAGAACGAACAGTATTCAAGCTCTAAATTTCTTCGTAGGGAATGGTTGTATAAAGTGTTGAAAATTGTATGTTTCATATCAATTTTGATAAAATTCTGTGATTTCTCATTTTATAGAAGTTCCTTGAAGTATCTGAATCTGGTTTCCACCACGTCTTGAATATGATGTTGTGCAGTACTCCTGAAATATCTCATTCACGACTGTTAATATTTCAGTGAGGAGTAAAGTAAAAGCCTCGGTCGAACATTTACTAACACCCGCTATGTATCTTGTTTGTTACAATTTTTACAGAGTTTTGAAATCCAGCATGAGTTTGGTAATTCCAATTCATTTTTATAGTTTGGAATATCAAAAATAGCTAAAATTGAAATGGTATGAAGAATTTCTTCCTTAGGAAAGATAGCTAAGGGTCTAAGCTGGATTACCACTTGCAGAATTTAATCCCAGTTCCTCAATACTAGAATTATGTATTTTAAAGAAAGACAATGTTGTTCCCTACTTTTTCTGCTGGGGCCTATTAATATTGTGTAGAGAGTATGCGGAAAGATAAATGCTTCCTTTGCAAATGTAAAGAATTGTAGCCTCAAAGGCCTTCTTAGATGCTTGTTAAACGTTCTTTCTTTTTAGTTACTCTTGCGTTAGAAATTGCGAAATTAGAACCAGCTTATCACAGGAGTATGAAGTCAGGATGAATAGCATGAATGGAAGCTGCATTTCAAGACCCGAGCTACAGGGGTTATACAACGTATCATATGGCACAAACAACGAATCTGCATTACATATGATCGAAAGACATTTCCTGATCAACGGATCAAGTTTCATTCACATAGGTAAAATCTCACAAACCTTTCTGACAATAATTGAAATGGGGTAAAATTGATTGATTGATTGTTGTGTAACGTCCCTCTCGAAAATTTTTTCACTCATATGGAGACGCCACAGTTTGCTGGTGGAGAGCTGCAATTTTTGTCCTATGCTCGGCACTCATGGTCAATGAGCAGTGAGGGATCCTTTTCATGCCAGCACCAACTGCGACACGGGGCCTCACTTTATAGGTCTCATCCGACGGAACGGTCTCCACGTCCCATATTGGGATTCGAACCCGCGACGTAAGATTAACTCCTTACTTTGCGACTCTAGAGCAGATCCTGTAACTGCTGCACCATACAGGCAACGAAATGGGGTAAAAAGAAATAAATTATGATTTTTAAAAAAAAAAATAAAAATCGTATGACGATTTTATGAAGACTGTTATGAATTGCTATTGACCAAAACAACTTCGAGTCACTGAAGAGTGTTAAATGGTATATCACATGTATCAAGAATACTAGAATTTGACGTCTTGCCTTTCGTAATTCATGTATACGAGTATCGTGCATCATTTGCTTTACATTAAAAAGTGAATGATTACATGAACTTTTTGACCTGCATTAATAGCGTTTGAAAATATTTGACGTAGATAATGCGTGATTAATACGGTACAAAATATATTTAACTATTTTCTAGTACGCTGTTTCCGATCATATGAATTGCAATTCTAGCGTAAACTCTAAAATCTCCAGATTAATACGTCATTTCCCTCGTTTAATGTAGCAGGAATGCGGAAATGTGATCAGGAATTCGGATCGTGGTTAGATTTGTGACTCGTTTAGGAATCAAAGCTGGTTTCTATTTAGACAGGTTTTCCACCAACAGAACTGACTACGAGAGAAAGACTTTAAGGAAGCAAAGCAATTTTTAAATATTCAAAAATTCTTGTCAAAGAATCAGTGTATTGGGAGGGGAAAAATACGAGCAGACATCGAACCAAACACCCTAAAGCCTAGGCACTTGGAAACTGAGGTTTCTTGCAATCAAAAGTTAAAACTTCTCTGCCCAAGACGAAATTAAACTCATTATTGTGCTCGGGTGAACAGACAGTAATTGTACTTATGCAACTTTTGAAAAGCCAACAACAAAAGGCTTCCATTACCTGAAATATCAGGCCATGGATATAAACTAGCTATTTTTAATTTATATACAAATTTCTTTTGCAGTCAGAGATCTGATTATCGTACAGACGAATCGTCTTACAGCCGGCAAGCGGTATATGCTGAAGATGACCACGGGCAATGTTCCATGGTTTATCTATCTTCACATGAACAGGCCACCGACAGGAGGTGATTGTGAAGTTATGCCCAAAGAAGGTATTATTTTTAGACTTAGCTTGAGTCTGAATCTTGCTGTATCATATAGAATACACAATACTTATTATTCCCTCGAAACGGAGCTAGAGCAAAGATAGTATTTCGTGAAGTTGTGTGTGTGTGTGTTTGTTAGTTTGTCCTTATGCGAAACCAAAGTGACGAACTTTGCATATTATTAGAACACATAATTTATTATTGCTTATTTGTAAAACAGTCACATTTGTTATGATTATACAATAGACACTGCATTACTACTTTAGGTTTGGTGCTTCGGACAGAGTTTATGGTCGTATGTCGGGGCTGGAGAGCAGGAGGAGAGGATTATAACACACCCCAACAGCAGACCAAAGTCCCCCTCTTGTATACAGTCCGCTACAGAACAAGTGGAGGTGGTCACGTGATGGTGTATCAGGGCTGTAGGCATTTTCAGAATTTCTATAATTATATGTAACATGAACAAAAATTTTGAATGATTCACTTGAAATATTTACCGTTTAAGTTGAAGAATCAACCCCGCCCTATATGTTACCCTCTGGTGGCGCCGCCCAGAATTACAGAGTCACCGTGGAGATAGAAGTGAAGGACAGATTTAACGACAAAGCACAAAAGAATATAAGCGTAACTGTGAAGGTACCACGTTACTAAAAAAATTAATAAAATATTACTAGTACTAATAATATTCTTGTTACTCATTACTAGTATATGTCAAGTTGATATAGCCAGACAATGTAAAATAGAACGTTATCACATATCAATGTATTTCAGAACTAGTCAAGATGTAAGTAATGTTATTTTATCTTAATGTTTTAACATTACATTGCACCTGTGTGGTGTAGTGGTTATAAAGTGTCTGCTCTACAGTGGAGGAATTTGAAGCTCATCCTCAAATAGAAGGTTTAAATCCAACGGCAGGACATGGAGACCGGTTCTTCGGCTGGCACGATTGATTGATTGATTGATTGGATAATTTTTCACTCATATAAGAACGTCACCTATACCAGTGAAACCTCAGTCACATTTCCAAAAACGACCAACGGCCGACGGTTTTTTAAGCAAAAATGGGACTCTTTGGGTGACAGTCGGCAATTCATTGACCGTTGTCTTGTCCGATTTTGACCTCTTTTTTTCGTCGGCCGACTAATTTTTTGTCCATCGGTCCAAGTTATAATTTTTTCTGCGTCGTTGGCCGTTTTCTTCAAATATAGTAAAGTATCAGTCATATTATCTAGCGATGGGGTATACGATGAGAAACCGATGAGTTTTTTGATGAAAATGGCGTGGTTGCCGCCCGGATACCATTAATGATCGGACGATGACTAAGGCCATTTTGCGAATCGGTGGGGTCATCGGTAGGAAATAATTCGTAGTTAAAAATCAGCGATGTCTCCAACGATGCCCCTCATAGCTCCTCATCGGCAACCCATCATTAACACATCTTTCACGGATCGGCCGATGTATGGCCGAGCATCGTCCAATATCCGTTGAATCTGAGGTCATCGGTGGGTTGAGTGGTGTTCAACAGATGACGGTCGATCATCGGTCGATGTTCGACCAAATTTTGGCCCGTAGTCGACCGATGTTCGAACGATGTTCACCAACGTATGAGCGAAGTAATATACATCGGCCGATTATCCTGAAACATCGTTTTATGATTAGCAATGCATCGCTGGGCCTTTGTAAGTCCGGCCGGCAACCACGCGATTTTTATCATAAAACGCATTGGTTGCCCATCGTATACCCATCGCTGGATAATGTGACTGATTCTTCAAGGACTACTAGGCCGATGTGGACCGACGTTGGGGCATCGTTAACACCACGCATTACCACCAATTATCACCGGTCTACGGCTACCGGCCGTGAAATGTGACCTAGGCATAATCCGTTGACCAACCTTCGATCATCATCCGACTATCGGCGGTAAGTTTATAGTCGTTCGTCCGTCGTTTGATAATAAAAGGTTTTCAAAATTCGGCCGACGGTGAAAATTAAACTGTAGTTCATAGCTCGATGATCCGGCGACGATTTGCCGACAAATAAATATTAAACCTATTAATGCCTAAGTCACATTTTCCGGCCAGTAGCCGTAGACCGGTGGTAATCAGTGGTAATCCGTGGTGTGAGCGATGCCCAAACATAGGTCCACAGCGGCCTATAGCTAGTAGTCCTTTAAGTATCAGTCAAATTACCCAGCGATGGGGTATACGATGAGAAAGCGATGCGTTTTTACATAAAAATGGCGTGGTTGCCGGCCGGACACCTATAGTAATCGGACGATGACTGAGGTCATTTGGCGAATCGGTGGGGTCATCAGTGGAAAATAAGTTGAAGTTAAAAACCAGCAATGTCTCCACCGATGCCCCACATCGGTCCTCATTGGCAACCCACCATTAACACATCTTTCAAGGATTGGTCCATATATGACCGATCATCGTCAAGTGTCCGTTCAGTCTGAGGTCATCGGGGGGATCAGTGGTGGGCAACAGACATTTGCTGATCATTAGTCGATGTTCGACCAAACATTGACTCATAGTCGACCGACGTACGAACGATGTTCACCAATGTACGAGCGATGTAAGATACATCGGCCGATTACCCTGGAACATCACTTTATGATAAGAAATGCATCGCTGGGCCTTTGTAAGTCCGGCTGGCAACCACGCAATTTTTATCATAAAACGCATTGGTTGCCCATCGTATACCCCATATCTGGATAATGTGACTGATACTTTAAGGACAGCTATACCGATGTGGACCGATGTTGAGGTATCGCTCACACCACGGATTACCACCGATTGCCACCGGTCTATGGCCACCGGCCGGGGAATGTGACCTAGGCAAAAAGTATCAGTCACATTAGGGGTATACGATGGGCAATCAATACATTTTTTGATAAAAATGGCGAGGTTGCCGCTGTAACGACGAAAAGTGACCCCATCGTCTGATGATCGGCCTATGTCTGTTGCCCAACATTCAACCTCCCGATGACCTCAGGTTCAATGTGACACTTGACGATGTTCATTGGCCAGTCTCTGAGAAATGTGTTAATGATGGGTTGCCGATGAGGAGGGATGTGGGGGCATCGGTGAAGACATCGCTGATTTTTAACTACAACGTATTTTCTACCGATTACCCCCACCGATTCGCCAAATGACCTCAGGCTCCGTTCGATTATTATAGGTGTCTGGTCGGTAATCCCGCCATTTTTATAAAAAAAACCGCATCGGTTTCTCATCGTATACCCCATCGCTGGATAATGAGACTGATACTTAAGGATACACAACATAAACAAAATTTTGATGCATGGATATATTTATATATATTTTTGGATGGAAATTGCATAAATAATAAATCCGTAAAATATAAAGAAATCATAAGTTTTCTTAGCTTCTTGGATGAGCACCTTTTAATTTTTTTCTATGTTATTCTATGCAAAATTTTGAGACTATTTTTAACATTCTGTCATTCTTACAAATTTACCCACTTTACCATGCAAATATACTCAGGTTATCTATTTAAATATAGATCTATGAAAAAATATTGCTGATTTATGAAAAAAAAAAATTGTGTTATTTAATAGCTTAGTCACATTTCCCGGCCGGTGGTATTTGGTGGTAATCCGTGGTGTGAGCGATGCCCCAACATCGGTCCACATCGGCCTAGTAAGTCCTTAAGTATCAGTCACATTATCCAGCGGTGGGCTATATGATGGGCAACCAATGCGCTTTTTGATAAAAATGGTGTGGTTGTCGGCCGGATTTACAAAGGTCCAGCGATGAATTGCTAATCATGAAACAATGCTCCAGGGTAATCGGCTAATGTACGTATATTACATCGCTCATACATTGGTGAACATCGTTCGTACGTCGGTGGACTATGGGTCCATGTTTTGTCGAACATCGACCAATGATCGGCCGATGTCTGTTGCCCACCACTCCTTCCCCCCGATGACCTCAAATTCAACGATCCCGGGCATACATCGGCCAATCCTTGATAAATATGACAATGATGGGTTGCCGATAAGAAGCGATGTGGGGCATTGGTGGAGACATAGCTGAGTTTTAACTACAACTTACTTTCTACCGATGACCGGCCACCACCCCATTTTTATCAAAAAACGCAGCGGTTTCTCATCGTATACCCCATCGCCGGATAAAGTATAAGTCACATTATCCACCGATGGGGTATACGACCGATGCGTTTTTCGATGAAAATGGCGTGGTTGCCGGCCGGGCACCACTAGTGATCGGACGGTGACTGAGTCTTTTTTTGCGAATCGGTGGGGTCGTCGGTAGGAAATAATTCGTAGTTAAAATTCGGCGATGTCTCCAACGATGCCTCATCGGCAACCCATCATTAACACATCTTTCAAGGATCAGCCGATGTATGGCCGAGCATCGTCCAATATCCGTTGAATCTGAGGTCATCGGGGAGTTTAGTGGTGTTCAACAGATAACGACCGATCATCGATCGATGTTCGAGCAAACATTGGCCTGTAGTCGACCGATGTACGAACAATGTTCACCAATGTATGAGCGATGTAATATACATCGGCCGATTATCCTGGAACATCGTTTTATGATTAGCAATGCATCGCTGGGCCTTTGTAAGTCCGGCCGGCAACCACGCCATTTTTCTCATAAAACGCATTGGTTGTCCATCGTATAACCCATGGCTGGATAATGTGACTGATAGTTTAAGGACTACTTGGCCGATGTGGACCGATGTTGGGGCATCGTTAACACCACGGATTACTACCGATTACCACCGGTTTACGGCTACCGGCCCTGAAATGTGACCTAGGAATAATTTGACTGATACTTAAGTATGGAACCGTCCACGGGCAAGTTATGGCGTCACAAAACAAGTGAAAATTTTTCGAGAGGGACGTCAAACAACAAAAAAACATGTTTTGAAAAAGACGAAGTTAAGAATGATTAAACTCAGCAGTTGATATTATTTAGAGGAGTAAAGAAGGGTCTTGAAAGAACGCTTTGGCAACTTATTCCACCTAAAATATTTCAACGGCCCGTTTTTAAGTCAAGTTTATACATAAGCATTGTTTTTCAATATTTTTATATTGTAGGGAGAGGATGACAAATATAACAGAGAGACGTATATTGAGACTTTATGTCGGAACCTTCTAACCAAGCTTAAGTTTAGCCAGCATCCTGACACCCAGATACACGCTATTCACATCACGGCCAGCGAGCTCAGCAGAGTGCTAACTAATGTAAGATTTGAATTTATCTCTCTCTGTTCCATCCAATTAATGGTTAATATTGTTTTTGAATCACCTTTATATTTGTTGATATTCCTATGTTGTAGGTTTCTTTTCCGAGCATGAATATCTCAGAGATGATGAATACAGATATTTTGAATCTGAGAGCGATGTTGGCATATGCTAAACCATCCATTTTTAAGAAATTACAACAGGTACACAAATTATTCTCTTAGAAGATTGACACGATTCTTTGTGACATCTTTATGTGTAAGAAACATACTTTGCATTGTTTTATGTTGATCATATGGATAACTTTCTTTTCAATTAATAGAACTTAATCTGCAAATAGGTGAATCGAGAATTTGTGATTATTTTTTTTTTCAGGGAATAAATATTTTATCCGAGTCCATTTTCAACTGGACCACAAAGTTTTCTTTGGGACTCCCGGATAATGAACAACATTCTGATAACGAGGCATGTCATATGATGCTTTTGTCCATGGACAGCATACATATCTGCACAAAGAATCCGGAAATCACAACACTCACATCTTTAGTAAGTATATCATCTTCAAAAGAGTTTTAAAAACTTTGTCGAATCCTTAAACAATCCACAGAAAATAAAATGGTGTCCAGAGAATTAACATATTTAATGCCTTTCTGGCGGAACACAATGCCTGATAATACACATGATACATGTGACATAATTCAACAGGAATATACCGTGGAGACACTGAGGTTGCTGCTGGCTAATACCGCCCTGGCAAGAAATCTAAAAGACAAAGCAGTACAGATCATCACAGGTATTGTTCTAAACTTATTGCGTATTTAGATTTGAATACATGAAATATATGAAAATGACGAACAGTATTCAAGCTGTAAAGTCCATTAAACTATATAAAATAGGAGCAGAGCAAACACAGACCTCCGAAAAATCAGAGGTAGAATTATGTGACATGGAGGAGTAATCATCCCCTGCCGACCGATCGCACCCGTCGTGTGCTTCTTACTATGATTGGGAAATAACGGAAAAATCTGTCAACAATTCAGTGTATAAATAGTGGCCTAACAATAAGTATGAAAAATGTCATTCATCATTTGACTTAATGCGGATATGATTAATTGTATTTTCTGAAAAAATCAGTGTAACCATGCACTAAAAAATTTACGAAATGACGACTGTAAACGAAACTGCTGATATTCTTGTTTCAACAACTTCTTTTTTAATAACTTACCTCGTTTTAAAAATTGTTCATACGTAGAGCATGCTCTTGCATATCGAATCAACTGAGAAATATGAATCACATATGCAGACGAAGGTTTATTGCTGCAAAAATCATTGAAGTTGGCAATTGAAAAGTTAGTCAAAAAAATTGGTTGTTAGATTACCATTACCGTCCTTTTCAGTAAAATAATCAAATATGAAAGAGATGGACCAGACTCTGTGTGTCTTTTATTTCAAGCTCAAGGATATATTTTATTGACATAAGAATGGAAATTACTATTATTCACTGACATTATGCCGTCGATATATTAGTCCATTATTTATACACTGAATTGACGACGGATATTTCCGTTATTTCCCGAATGTGACAAAGAGCACACAGCGGGTGTGACCGGTCGGCAGGGGATGCTCACTTCTGCATGGCACCTGATCCCACCCCTTATGTTTCGGAGGTCCGTGTTTGCTCTGCTCTACTTTGTATTGTTTTATGTACCTATAATATTCAATACTGTTCGTTATCTCCATGTGTTTCATCTTAATGTCGAGTTGTAGGCCACAACAACTGTTTTCCATTCTTTTCACGTGTAAGATTTTGAACAAATTCTGCTTCCTTTGAGTTCAAAAATAGATGCATCTCTCTTTCACTGTCTATCTCTCTTTCTCTTCCATAACCTATTTTGTAATTGTTTAAATAGGACTGATGAAGATCGTTGACACAATATTCCAAAGTAGTTACTACCATTACACGGACGATTTGGAAGAGCGAATGACATTAAATAAAGCAGAACTGATTATGGTGGAGAGTGGTTCCAAAAGCTTTGTAAGAAAAAAGTTAATCAAGGATTACATGCTATCGGAGAAACAACGAACAGCACAGAGGATGAAATTGGTAGGCAACGCCTAGCAATCTTAGCGTTTGAAACTAATAGTAAAGGTAATATTGTCAATTTACTCATTCAAATTTAACAGTGTGGAAATTGGCAAGGCTTTTTTCTCCTCTAATATTTAGCTTGAATCCTCCTCTTCCATTCTGATAAAGTCATTGAATGCAGTAGAAAAGGCCATGTCCTTGGCTACAACAGGAAGAAAATTATCGGTGAATCGTACCTTTGTCTCTGTCTTGGCGGAGAGGATCAAACCTCTGTCAATAAAGAATTACTCAGCCAAAGTTGGTGGGATTAATCTGGAACTTCAAGCAGATGGAAATGAACAGACTGACTTCAACATTTTGGTAAGAATTTGTGTTGTTTGAAAACTATTTAAACTAAGTTATCAAACACGTGGCACGTAACTTTTTTTTTTTACCTCAAATTCTCAAACTTCCAGATTGCAGCATTCAAAAGATCCCCGTTCCCAATATTGAATGACACTTCTTATAGTTTATCTGAGGTTCTGGTATTTAAAAGTAATTTTTCCTGTAACGTCACAGCACGTCTGCGGAATAGGAATATACCAAACTTGCACAAAAGCACAATTTCCATTCACTCTGATTTGCCTTTTTACCAAGAATTTGCAGTAAGCATGAATGATCTCACGGTAATTAACTTGGAACCAGAAAACCTCATGGATTCTACAAATTTGGAACTTTACATAAAAGGAGGAGCCCGTCCAACTGAAGTGGACTTCGACATCAAGTTTGACATTGGGAAACATCAGTCCAAATTCAAAGTCCCGACTGGGAAATTATCGAATGCCAGTAAAGGATACTTAATGCTTAAAGAGAAAGGTATCTCGCAACGTCCTATTTTTATTATTTTCAATAAAATATACTGGTAAAGCTTTGTTCATTTTTTTCATAAATATTTAAAATAACTTAATTCTTAGATAAAAAGGATAGAAGACGCAAAGCTAGGGATACCAGAATTAAAGATAATGCGGAGAGAGGTGTCGTTGTGGGCACGGTTGGTGTACAGGTCTTCACTTTGGGTTGTCGGGCCAGGTCTTTCACGTCATCATCGTGGATTACAGGCGGATGCAAGGTTGGATATTAAATACCGATTTCAGAGATTTAGATATCAGTATGTGTAACAACCTCTTTTGCATATTTTCAGGTTGGAGATGAAACGTCAGTCAAAACTACCGTCTGCAATTGCCCCCACACTTCCGGTCACCAGAGCGCTTTTACCTCGACCTTCTACGTTCAGCCAAACCTGATTGACCACATCGACTTCTCAAACTTTGATGTCGACAACGCCGCAGTGTATGGAACGTTGATTGTGATGTTGTGTCTCTATATTATCTTGGTCATGATACTTCGGAAACAGGATCATAAAGACATCGTAAAGGTTGTTAATTCTCATAGCAATTATGTAATGGTCTATTTGAAAGCCAATAATTTTTTTTAAAAATTTTTAAGTCCTAAGCCTAATATTTTCGCATGCACATAATTTCAAAATGAGATTGCCGATGGATGCCATCGTAACAACAATTTACTACTAAACGTTTTTGAACACAGTTAATTACTGAGTATTTAAATCCTTTGGGGATCTTGTTTCAGTGGGCTCCTCAGTTCCTTTGTGATAATGGTGAGAATGACGTCTACTTTTACATGATTACTGTATACACGGGCATGCGCAGAGGTGCCGCCACAATGTCAAATGTCAATTTCATTTTATCGGGAGATGAAGACGATTCTGGGATACGAATAATGAGCGGAAGTTCACATTCTGTAAGTTAAAAGTGAATGATGAGAAAATCTTAATCCCCGAATAATCATTTTCTGAAAATTATACTTTGAGAAATATTTTACCCCTCAAAAATCTCAACTTGGGTAATTTTGCTATTGTCTACAAACAGAACATCATCCAAACATACAATCCTAATTTTTCCTATCCAAAATTCTTCCCAAAACATTAATTAGAAGAAAAATTTTAAACTGTTACATACAGGTTAGGGAAATTCATTGTCAACATTTATTGAAAAATATACTTTCTTTTTATTTAGGGCTTTGACGCTGGTTCTGTCCGAAGATTTATTGCCAGTTCAAAATCAAATTTTGGCAAACTTAATTATCTGCGAATATGGCATGATAATTCTGGACCTGATAATAAAAAATCCTGGTTCTTAAACAAAATAATTGTTGATGATCTGCAAACAAAAGCAAGGTATGATGTAAATTACACAAAAATATCCTTGTGAGTTTTCTTGTTAAACTAATCAAAATACCAAATTTGAAATTTATTTCAGATATATATTTCACTGTGGGAGATGGTTGTCACGGGATCGAGATGATGGAAGAACAGAGCTGGTTCTTCCTGTTTGTACAACGGAGAATCTTAACAGCTTTAACACACGGTTTTCGGAGCAAGCTCAACTCAGTCTCACTGACAGTCATCTCCTCGTGTCTACCTTGATACGTCCCGAGAGCAGCAACTTTTCCCGCGTTCAGAGAGGGTCCTGTCTGTTTGTACTCATGTTGTTAACAATGATCAGCCACGCCATGTACTTTAAAGAGAACAACATTGTATCAGCAAGTCAAGTTAAGATCGGTAGTCTAAACTTTTCCCTGAAGGACCTCTACGTGTCTTTGATTGTAGCCTTGATCACTACTCCACCAATTTTATTTGCCTCCTTTGTGTTTAAAAGAACATCCAAATATTCGAATCATGTAAGCAGAATCTCCTCAAGGAAAAGGTCAACAACATCGGAAAAGTACACTTCAATGGATACAGATTATTCAAACAATATAGATCTGACCTCAACATTCGATACGGAAAAGACCTTGTTTCCAAAATGGGTACTATATTTCGCCTGGTTTCTCCTGTTTGCTTCAGCTGCTGTCTCTTCCTTCTGTTTGCTCTTGTACAGCATGCAGTGGGGCAAAGAGAAGTCGACAAGGTGGTTGGTCAAGTTTATATTGTCATTGCTGGAGTCTATATTCATTGTGGATCCGGGAAAGGTTCGTAGGGCTTGTTGTTTAAGTTAAGCAATTGCCAAAACTAATATTTGGTGTTTTAAAGACTAATTTTCTTTTTACAGATCATTCTGATGGCCTTGATGGTTGCTTTGTTTTTAAAAAACAAAGAAACAGAGTACAAATTAAATGTCGATGTACGCCATCTTCGTCATTTAGCAAAAGTCTTTTACAGCAATTACAGCGGATCTTTAACTGGTATTCCTAGTTACTGTTAACCATTTTGCAAGGTTGAAATTAAATAGTTTTGTTCATTGGTTTCTAAAACTATGAGCAAATATTGTATTTTTTAAATTTAGTTATGAGAAGGCAGATCCTTGGTAGACACGAGCCAGCTTTGCCTCATGACGTCGAAAACTTTAAGAGCAGACGACACCAGGAAGTCAAGGCCAGGGGAGTGTTTATAGAACTTCTTACATATGGAGTCTTTGCTTTCAATATGTTCAGCATTAGTTATATCCACAAAGATCAGAGGTCGTTTTTATTGAAGCAAAACGTCCATAACATACTTGTCAAGGACCTTGTCACCTACAACAAATTTACAAACGTAAGGAATGACTGTAAATAAAAGTCAGCTTTTATTTGAAACATTGTTCATATCTGATTTTATTTCTTTTTCTCTTCAGTGCTTGATAAGATGTCATTCAATTATATTTAGATTAATAAAACAATAGACTACTTCAACTGGTTAAATAACACAGTTCTTCCGCATCTGTATCCATCACGTGATTGGAGTAACAACTCACTTCCTCCATCTCCCTGGGTAGGAGATCTGGTAAACATCAGAGTGGGAACCGCAAAACTACGACAAGTTAGAGTTACGGAGGGTAGGATATGTTTTATTCTATCGAGTAATATATCATTTCGATGCATGATTAAAAAGATATGGACCGAATGATGGGTTTGTACTTTATTCCATGAATTAGATTTATTGAAAATCATTTTAATAATTTGCATTGTTAAATGCATTATTTGATTTCAGAGCCTTGCATTTCGTACCTCTATCATATCGTTCGACCATGCATACGAGAATACCAAGACCAAAATATTGAAACCCGTGATTTTTATCCTTATTGGAGACTCGAGAACAATTTATCTCGAACACCACAGGCTCTCAAACGTGCTTGGAGATACTCACATGAAGACAAAGGAATAGATGTCCCGGGTGAAATTCACTTGTACAAACCTGGGGGTTACATAATTATGTTGCCAGAGTCCTTGAAGGAAGCTCGAGACCTTGTTTATCATCTGACTCAGTACAGATGGGTGGATAGACACACACGAGCCTTGTTCCTTGAACTCAATCTTTACAATCCCAACATCAATATCTTCACGTATGCCATGTTTATCGCCGAATTCATCGAGACAGGTGGAATTGTGCCCTGGTCCAACATTTGGGTATTCAGGCCCAATGAGTTTACCGGACCGCTGGGAACATATGCTCTCCTGTGTTATCTCATTTTTCTGATATTCTTATGCTTGGGATCATTTAAAATCATAAAAGGATTCTATCAAAGGCGTATGAAGTTCTTAAAACAAATTTGGAACTTGGTTGACATCTCCTGTGTAGTCATTAGTTATGTTGGAATAGTAGTCTTTTTCGTAGGTTTAGACAAAGCCAAAGAAACCATACCTAAGGCCAAAGAATTGTCAAATGACACATTTAATGGTTTTCAGTCTGTGTTCTTATGGGACTTTTCTTTTAATTGTATTGTTGCCGTTCTGACTTTCATAACGACCTTACGAATACTGCGAATATTGGGGTACAACAGGCGTTTAACAGAGATTGTGCGAGTTATAACCACGTCTGCAAGAGATTTAATTGGATTCGGCCTCGTCTTCAGCATAATATACCTCGCCTATGTCATATTTGGTTTTCTGATATACGGTAAATCTTTGAGCGAGTACAACACTGTGTTCAAATCTTTTGGAACTCTGACCAACTCTTTGATTGGGAAGAATCGGTTGGATATGATGATTCACGTGGCCCCTGAGGCGGCTTCTTTCTTCTATTTTACCTACACATTCTGTGTCATTTTGACATTGTTAACGATGTTCTCTGCCATCCTTAATTACAGCATCAGGAAAGTTCGTCATCAATCAAGGAAAAACCCCGAAACATACGGAATAGTTGATATCCTTAGTTCCACCATAAGTAATCTGTTTGGAATGGCAATGTTACTTCAAAGGAGGGATAGAGCTAAAGAGAAAATCACCACTAAAGGTAAAATAAAGACCACAAATAAGCAAATAATATTACTTTAATCAATTGTTCCTGAGTTAATTTTGAAAAATTAAAAAATTTAAGGAGAAAAGCATTTGCGAAGTGAGAAGATAAATGCCGTAGGCATTGTCCAGTTAATCAGAGACATTATGGTTCAAAGTCTGGGAGAGGAATTTATGGTAAGAACTTTTCTTTTGATAGTGTATGAAACAAATTAAACTTGCAGATTTTACTTGGTGTTTGGTCTTTTTTGGATTAATAGTATAAAAAGGTAGGTAAAGCTCATGAACGAATGACCAATATATAAAGAATTCTTTAATATTTTGAAATATGTTAATGATGTCCTAACAAATATCATTGATAATTGACATTACATTATTATTCTCTATTACTTGTGCATTTATAAGAAACAACTTGAAACCGGTCTCTTGGGTGTTTTGTAATACTTTAATTGCATAGTATAGTGCCAGGATGTTGAATTATTTACATCATTATAAAATACTTCTTTCTTCTTTTATATTAATTATCATAATTCAATATTCACAGAGGTCAAACCAAGATTCTACATTGAAAACGACGAAGGAACCATCAGATCTGAGAATTAATCCTCTCACGCCAGTATTACAAAATGAACGTCTTAAAGGACGACAAATTGGTGACGTCAGCAAACTGGAAAGAATTGGAACCCTGAGGGATATTGAAGTATCCATTGACAAGAGAGAAGACAACCTAGTACAGCGGAGTCTGAATTATTTGTAGTTTGAAATATAAGTCAATATCTACCCAGACTGCAGTTACTCCATTCAAACATATTCAGGCTTTCTTCTTAGTTTTTAAAAGATTATTGCCAAACATTTTAAAAAAAAAAGCAAGATAATTCCGTCTTGAATTTAACGAATTGCAAGGATAAAAAATAATTTTCCCTAGGTTGGCTAAAATACCATTTGCAATAAATGTTTTGTGGAGTTGACGGTGAATTTACATTGGTAAATAGATATCTTTATTCCTTTTTTACTCAAAATTACAGTTTTCCTACATATTTGAATTATTAAGGCTTACTTTTTCCGCATTTTACTGAATTTGCCACTTGGTATATAACTAGTAGCTTTTATTTCTTCTTAAAACTTTTCTTTTTCTTTATAAATTTATACAACTTGTGTATATGTGTTTTAGTGATAATAAAACTTATATAAAAACTGTTCTTCTAATTCTTTAACCTTAATTAAATTGCCAGTTTCAATATTGTGGACAATATTCTTGAAAAAAATGTCCTTTTGTGAAACTGTTCAATAGAACTAACAAAGCAAAATTGAAATGTTTTCTTACACCCCTTCTCTGCACCTGATTTCAACTGACGTAATTTCCAGAGTCGGTGTTTTAAGCCCTGTCTACAGATGTTTACTGGTTGTAAAGCCCTGTCTACAGATGTTTACTGGTTGTCCGTGATTGAAGCCCTGTATACAGATGTTTACTGGTTGTAAAGCCCTGTATACAGATGTTTACTGGTTGTAAAGCCCTGTATACAGATGTTTACTGGTTGACCGTGTTTGAAGCCCTGTATACAGATGTTTACTGGTTGTAAAGCCCTGTATACAGATGTTTACTGGTTGTAATTTCCTTGAGATCGATCTATGATTATTATCTTTATATTAGGAATGTCTTTATTACAGAAAAAGGAGAAATCATTTTCTGTGGCCTTTAACTCGAACTTATTGACAACGCATTATCGAATGGTAATGTTTACTTCCACCCAAAGTCCATTCGATCTATCCCAATGAATTTAAAATAAACGATACCACACTTCCCAAAACATTTTTATATGTTTGGATAACTAGAAAAAGACGTTGATGTTAACCTAATGAGAAACGTGATGGTTTCAGCTTTCTATCATTAACTTTTTTATGATTCAGCAATATACATCTATCACAGGCATATGGAGGTTTTGTCTCACAGTTGATTCGATACGCAATTTTCTCTATGTACGAACAGTTTCCAAAATGATGCAATCTATTGACAAGCAAGTTGATAAAACAAGGATATAAATCAACATTTAGGAATTTCTATGGTTGATACAAGAACCTCCTCAGCAAATTACATTTAATCTATAATTAAATCAGTGCTTACTTTTTTCATACTTATTGTTAGACCATTATATGCACATAGGATTTTTCCAATTGCTCTTTCACAAGAAGGAGTACATAGCGGGTATGACAGGGCGACAAGGGATGTTTACTCCTCTATAGCACCTGATCCCACCTGTGGTGTTTTTAGAGGTCTGTGTTTGCTCTGCTCCCATTTTGTATTATTTCAGTGGACTTTGGAGTTTAAAATTCAAATACTGTTTGTTGCCCCCATACATAATGTTAATATAAAAGCGATTTACTTCATCAGAAATCGCTAAAAAATATTTTGGTATTACTTTGATATTGTATAGACTCTACCTTCCAGAAAGGTCCTTGTACGAGCTGTACTAGTATTTAAGATGAGGGCTTTATTACTATAGTTTTGAAGCAAATTTTCCAATCTACATGTAAAATGAACAGAATTGTATTATTTTATCCTTATATCAAAGACTTGAATAAAAAGATATTTGGCACAAAGAAAAGTATAATCAGGATATTGAGAAAATATTGCTTGTCAATTATCCATCCATCCTCGCACAAAAGAAGAAACACTTTTGTAAGAAGAAAGAGGGTATAGTGTTGAGCTCCAGTTAAAAAAAATCTGGACCCAGAGTTTTTAATTCTTAAAAGCAGCTGAAGTTCTTGATGAGTTTTTTTTTTTGCAATGCTTATACGAATATTGGAAATACAATAAAACAAATAAAAAGAATTATTGTAAAATGTGATTGTTGTGTGGTAAAATAACATTATTTTAATTTGTCATAAAGTAAACTGTACTTAATCGAACTAATGGTTATGTTACAGCTACAATTCAACAAAGGTGAAGTGTCACTATAAGTATTAAAACTTAAAGAACACTTGAAGTTGTTATAGATAGTATATATTTTATTTATTAACTAAAATGATCGCTGTTCTCACGGACATTTTCTCTTCGGTTCTTCTCAATACAAAAAGCAATATACAGGGTTAAATTTAATTTTAACTGAAATGTGAGATATCATCTAAACATTATTTATATATCTAAATTTATCTAGTTTTCTAAAGATTTCGCTTATGAAATAAAATATTGGGGCTATTGCGTACATTTTTCGGTGATTTTTCTATTAATGCAACATAAACTGCAAAAAGTGAGAGATAAGCGTCTAATCAGCAGATGACATAAAACTCCTTGAGAGCTGATAAATTACAGAACGGGGTCGTGCTTACGTCATCAGCGTGTGTGGCGCGCGGGAATCGCGCGGACAGATTCTCTTATAAGTGAGTTATTGATATGTCAATCTTTATCGATATTGGCCTCGTACTTACAACAAGATTAGCTTTTAGAATTTAATTTTTCAAAACTTTATTTACATTAAAACTCATTTTTGACAAGGTGCTAATTCCAAAGTTATTTCTGAAAAATAAATAGTTTTTTGGGAAATATAAAATATTTACGCGTATGTCGTGATAATTGACCAACTTTTGATACATATGCTGCCTTCTTACTTCTGCCAGGAAATGGATAATGTAGCCGTTTGCTAAGAGGAAAATGACCGGGTATATTAATAAGAGCGTCCATTAATACTGGGCAGGCGTTTGAACCAATGCCTATTTGTAACGGATGGGAACATTATCCAGAAGTGTGAACATTAATAAGGGGGATACACAGAGGAGGTTTTGGTGTTTTGTTGATGGAGTAATACAGATTGTTTATAAATGTTTATTTCGGTAATTGTGTTTCATGAGAAGGGGCACATGGTATTGAAAAACTGCGATCAGTAGAACGGATATATACATACCACAAATTGAGATCAGAAAGTGTTACAGGGAAGTAATTTGGAAGGTTTAGTCATTGTGATAACAATCCGTGGGATCGATCGGTGGATAGCCTGTACCGGTCACGCTGAACTCGGTCCTAATTCTCGGACTGGAATCGGAGAGTTATCTACCCTGGGTATGACGTCACTTGTATTCCGACTTCTGGTGCTGGTCACAGTCAGTGTGAAGGCACGCCGACATAAAGTCCTGCTTGTGTCGATGGACGGGTTCCGCTGGGATTATGTTAAAACCATCCCTACCCCTAACTTAGACCGCCTAGCAGGATTGGGGACGCGGGCAGAGTACATTAACAACACTTTCTGCACCAAGACTTTCCCCAGTCACTACAGTGTCGCCACAGGTAAGATAAAACTCACCTGTGTGTATCCCCAGAAATTGAATTCAATTAATGTCTCGTTCTCAATGATTTAAAACTACTACGCTGTATAAACATGATAAAGTAAAGGTGCATTTCTTAGGACATGTGTTGGATTTGACAGTTCTTTGAGTCACACAAACAACTTTATTAGGAATTCATTTTTATATGAATTTGAGGTATTCTTTGCACTTTTCTAATTCATTAACATTAATTTTTGTAAAGTAAATAACTGACGTAATAATAAAATGTTCGGAGAGATTGTGTACACTTTAACCTCTGCAAACTGTCATGCTGTCACGAATTAAAAAGGTTGTGCTAAAAAATATTTATCTCCTAAGCTTGTTCCCTCTACAAACGGATATCGGTTACGGTATTGTTTTCCCTTAAACTCCTTTTTGTGGGGGTGGGGAGTTGGGAGTGGAATACCTTTCGTAACCAAAAAAAGCAAAACATTTTAGATGAAGTCAACACTTTTTTCCGAATGTAAGTTTATTTCTTCCATATACTCAAGATTCTTCTATATCATAATACCTTTAATTCTTACCATATTGGCGCTCATGCTTAAGCTTTCATGGTTTGAATATGCGCTGGCAAAGTCATAATTAAATGACGGTGTACAATTTTTTTCGATCTATATTTTAGAAATTCAGTCAATCAAAAGTATTGTAAAATATGCAACTACGATTTTCTTTCTTAATTAGGATTACACTAATTAAATGTTAAAAGTCATTCGAAGCTTTAAAAATGTCTAATAAAACGAATAGCCTTAAATTACTTTGTTTTAAACGTTAATCTCTACTCATTCACAGATCCAAAATATCATTGTTGTAATAGTTTTATTGAGCTCTTTGGATAGATAACAAATGCGTTTATTTTATTTTACAAATTTTATTCTTTACTTTACTTAAACTGGACTACGTGTATGTTTTAGGTTTATACGAGGAAAGCCATGGAATTGTCGGAAATGTGATGTACGATCCCGAATTCAATGAAACGTTTACTCCTAGAACCCGTGAGTCAAAATGGTGGAATGGTGGCGAGCCAATATGGATCACAGCTGTACGAAACGGGTTGAAAAGTGCCACCTACTTTTGGCCCGGAAGCGAGGTAAAAATTCGCGGTCTCAGACCAACGAAGTATAAAAATTTTTCCAGTGTAGATGTCCAGAAACAGATCGATAATGTCACGGATTGGCTGATGGGCGACATCGACATAGCCGTTATGTACACCCCACAACCTGACAAAGCGGGGCACAAATTTGGACCCAATTCACAGGAACTAAGAGAAAAAGTACAGGAAATGGACAGAGTTGTGGGGTATCTCCTCGATAAGCTAGAGAAGAAAGAACTGACGTCTGTTGTGAACCTCGTTTTGACTAGCGATCACGGCATGACCGAAATAGATTTTCAAAAGAAAAGAATTGAAATAGCATCTTTGGTGAATCTAAGCGACATTGTAAGAAAATCCGACAAAGGGCCGCTTATGCACATCACCCCAGTGGAAGGCAAGCTAGAATCTGTTTACCAAGCTCTCAGTAAGAGTGACAAAATGACGGTTTACAAGAAAGAGGACATACCTGACTACTGGCACTATAAAAATCATAGACGGATAATGCCTATTCTCTGTGTGGCAAACGAAGGATGGTCTGTTCTATGGGTGAGCCACCTTAATGACTCTAAATTACATAGACGAGAACAATTAACAAATAGCTACTCCGAGTACTTTTTAAACACTGGTATCGATCCCGCGCTTTTCAACCGCACCAGTCAAAATTCCATCAGAGTATTTTCTGCGACCATTTGAAAAATAAATTAACTTTTGGGGAAAACATGACCCAGAAACCATAAAACTGAGAACAGGCAAGTCAAAATTTCAAATTTATAAAAGTTTTGAAATATTTTGGAAACAAAAACGGAATTTTCATAATGTTTTTATGCGGTTACGTCATGCACATATGTGTATATCTTGGTTTCGTTACAAACATAATTGAATTTTGATTTTAATTTCTTCCGAATATTTTCACAAAGGTCATAACCTTCATTTTGACATAGCCAATGTTGCGCCGACATTAGTTTGTATTAGATCCGTATGACTGAAAGAAAAGTGATCTTTATAGACTTTTTTTAAATGTGCTTGTAGTATTCAAAACATGTTATGTTGAACGCCAAATTGTATTTAAAACTATGATTAATGGTGTCGTTTTTTTTTTGGCAATCCTTGTCGTTGAAGGATTCAATTCATTTGTATATATTGATTTATCTTTATTTCAAAATATAATACTTGCATATCACATTATTGATATTATTTTAAAACTCTAATTTTTATTTAGGACAAAGATGACCTAATTAACAAGACTGATCGAGGAAATCATGGATACGATAATCAGCTGATGTCAATGAAACCTCTGTTCTTCGCAGTCGGTCCGGACATCCGAAAAAACCACACGAGTCCTCCATTTCTGTCAGTTGATATCTACTCACTTTTGTGTACGCTTCTGGAAATCAATCCCGCACCAAATAACGGAAGTTTGGAGCGCGTGCGCAACTTCATTGTAAAACCTAAACCACAGACAGCAAACCTCACTAACAATAGCATATATTTATATCCAAGTAGAGTTCTCTTGTCAATGGCTTTATTTGTTTTCCTAGTATGTAAACTTTCATAGATATAAAGAATTAATAGTCTAGCATAAACACAGATATAGTATTGCAGAAAATTGAAAAGTATTTGTTTCGAAAAACATTTTAGAATATTACCAAAAATTGTTGCACTGAAGATCCACCATTGTGACAATTCGGGGTATGGCTTATATGTGTCATGATACACGGTACGATATTTAGGACAGTTTTTACATATTGCTCAGGTAAATTATTGTGTTAGCATTGTTTTTGCATTAAGGAAAATGAAAGGGATATTATATAGAGTTTTATTCCTCTTTAAACTATTTTAGTAATTTAATTTATTGTTTTAGCTATACTGTTGATCTAATGTGTTTTCAACTAAGGCTTGCACAATATGACAGCTTTCAGATGATAAGAAAAAACACAAATATTGATTTTGTTGAAAATTTCGATCTTGAACATGAAGTGTGATAAATTTGCTTTCAGGTGTTGAAATTTCTCTACGTACAAAAGTTAGAAAATTATTCCAGAGAAGAAAAAAGATGCCAATTTTCCACTAAATGCAGACAGAGTATCTTACCTCTAAACATAACATCGTATAGAAAGCATAAGAAATTCACCATTAATATTAAGTTGGATGATGTACATAGTTGTTCATTTATCTGTTGAAGAAGTTACTTTCACTATCCTCTATACGGGACGATAAGACTAAGGTTAATTTGTTTAAGATATGAGAGCCACATACTTGATTCATCAAGTTTAAACAGTAAATCAAACACAAGTTCGTTTTATCAGTTTTATATCTTAGTCCTACCAATCATGGTGGCGATAGACAACGCTGCCCTGCAGATTTTTGTTCTATCTTTGCTGCATTCCGTAAGTGGAAATACCTCTAAATATGCACGGCAGGTTTTATTGGTTTCTATGGACGGTTTTAGATGGGATTATTTGAAGAAAACGCAAACTCCAAACTTTGACCGCATGGCACGATTGGGGACGCATGCGCTCTACATGAATAATACTTTCGTCACAAAAACATTCCCCAATCATTACACACTTGTTACAGGTAAGTGTTTTAGGATTAATATACATGTACATCTTCAACGTATCTTATAGATGAATATCTCATTTTAAAATATTACTTCTTGCAATTAATTAATATTCGAAATAAAATGGTCGAGAATTGCAGTCCATTATAAACTTTCTAGTAATTTACTCTTAAGATAGGATTCTCTTTGTTTTACATACAGCTGTATATTAAATATTTTTTATCACAATCTTATAATTCATCTCACAATATATTAGGAACTTAACCTATCTGATGATTAATGAATGTCTTACCCTTTCAGGATTGTATGAGGAGAGTCATGGAATTGTCAGTAACCACATGTATGACCCAGTCCTTAACGATACCTTTGGCTTCAAAAGCTTAGAGAGTGAGTGGTGGGACGGCGGGGAACCACTCTGGGTCACGGCTAGAAAGAACAACAGGACGAGCGCCACCTTCTATTGGCCCGGAAGCGAGGCCAAAATTCGCGGGTTCCGTCCGAACATTTGGTTACCTTACAATGAGAGTGTTCTTTTTCCCCCGCGGGTAGATCAGGTGATGGACTGGCTAGTGAACGACTCCATTGACTTTGTTACATTGTACTTCCATGAACCGGATAAAACAGGTCACAGATATGGACCTGACTCGGAACAGATTGTACAAAAGATCCAGGAAATGGACGGAATTCTGGGATATATCTTGGACAGCTTGGAGAAGAACTCTTTGACGGACAAGGTCAATCTTGTGCTGGTAAGTGACCATGGGATGACCGGTATTGACCTACAACAGAGGTTAATTGACATCTCGGAGGTGGTCGATATGGATGAGGACATTCTGTTCACGCTTGACAGCGGACCGGTCATGCAGATCAATCCCAGAAAGGATCCTCGTTACGTCATACAGAAAATACTTAACGCCTCCGTGCCACATCTAACTGTGTATCTGAAGGAAGAAATACCCGATAAATGGCATTATGGCAAGAATCGGAGGGTGATGCCGATCTTTGCAACAGCTGACGAGGGTTGGAGTATCGTGACGGTAGGTTGTTCCCTGAAATACTAGTTAGTGTAACTGTAGAGAGTAGATTAGCAGGCATTTTGCCTTAACGTTAGCTGTCCATGCGAGAAGTTAGTCCTCCCTCGCAACTGAACTCTAGAAAATTTACCGCCCATGCAAACCTTTGGTCAATAAGAACAACTGACAAAAGAATTTATAAAGATAAATATTAACGATGTTTAACTGAATCTCTGAGTCACAATTGTTAAACATAAAAATTGTGTCCTATCTTAATTGTTTACATGCGACAACTCAATGTTTGACTGTTACTTACAAATATTGCTGATACTAAATTATCAAATACCATTTCAGAATGCCACTCTTGCCAAAAGAATCACCGAGAAGGGAAATCATGGTTACGACAATGCTTTAATGAGTATGAAGCCTATATTTCTTGCCGTGGGTCCAAACATTCGTCAGAACTATCAGGTGCCGGTGTTTAAAAACGTGGATATCTACCCCTTAGTATGCGAACTTCTTCAGATCCAGCCCGCCCCCAACAACGGCAGCCTTGTACGAGTGAAGAGTTTAATCGTGTCCCAAGACAGTATCAGTAGTGCTCAGGAACCCAGAGTCTTCTCTGTTCTCATTTGGATCTCATTCTTTTGGAGCATAATTTGCAGTGATTTTTTTTAATGTTCTATGACACAGTAAAGATATAATAAGAACAAGTATCGTTAATAATTAGAAAAACTTATAAACATGTAACTAGTAATCTTCTTGTTTTCCTTGAATATAAGAACAAGATTTTGTTTAATTCAACTATTTTTCATTTTTTAGGTAGGAAAAATAACGTCGACTTGGTTCTGTTTTAGTAGAAGTTATTGTAACGAGGTCGAAACACGCAATTTTGCAAAACTGAATTAGGTTGGTAAAGCGTATACGGCGCGGATCTAAGAAACCTATTTCTAATTAGATTGAATATTTTGAAATGAAAAAAGAAAAATAACAATATCCCAAATTTTTATTTTATCAGGTGTTTTGTAAGTTTGATTTCTTAAAAAAGAATAAACGTGATGTATTTCAGTGAATAATAATCATGATTTTATAATCATTTTGAATACTGTAAATCAGTACATTTGGTAGGTTCCTAACTAGCAGAAAGTATAAATGTATATTTAAAAAAATCACAGTTCACTACATGAAAAGACTAAGAAGTTTATTTTCAGAACTGGTGTTTGAACAGGATAATATCTACATTGCATGTAAAACACAACAGGTATGCTACCTTGGGTTTAAAACATATAACAAGATATTGGGTAGTTTTTGATATGAGACCTACTAATTCGTAAAAGGAATCTGTCCGCCATTTTTGTTCCCGAGTCTCGCTACTCTGCAGACCCCTATAAATAGGGCAAAACTTAGTCACTGTTCAGTGTAATCAGTCGACACCGGTGTAGATGGACGTATGCTATACAGAACTCGATAGCGAGAATAATAACGTAATACTTCGTCTAATGCAGGAAAATAAAATACCAAATAAATTTACAATTATAGTTGTATAAGTCAGTGCAGGATACAAACAACTCAGATAAACGGAACTGCAATAAAATATAAACAAAGGTAATGCAAGATAACCAGCACGAACACGGATCGCCATTCCACGCCGATACCCGTGACAATAAAGCAGTCAGGTGTAACGAATGCGACTAGTATACCCTAGTATTGATGAATAATGCTATCGAAAATGGCGTATGTCCATTTAACATTACAAACAGGTTGGGGGGAAACGTAAATTCCGCTATAATAGTGTTATTTCACTATTATAGTGAAATTACGCTATATTTCCAGTCGTGCATACCCTCAATTTCACCCGATACCATGAAAGGCGTTTGAACCGCACGTCATGGTGGGTATTACAATGAACAAAAACTGTCATGCTTGCATGTTTTGAATTTTAATAAATTTTCTACCGTTGCGTTTGAAAATGCGAGCACTCTTTTTAGCTCACCTGAGCCGAAGGCTCAAGTGAGCTTTTCTGATCAAAATTTGTCCGTTGTCTGTCGTTGTCGTTGTAGTCGTTGTTGTCGTTGGCGTTGTCGTCGTCGTAAACTTTTCACATTTTCATCTTCTTCTCAAGAACCACAGGGCCAATTTCAACTAAACTTGCCACAAATTATCCTTGGGTGAAGGGGAATTTGTTCAAATGAAGGGCCACGCCCTTTTCCAAGGGGAGATAATCATAAATTTGAGAAAAATTAATAGCATTTTTAAAAATATCTTCTTCTCAAGAACCACTGGGCCAGGAAAGATGAAACTTATGTGGAATCATCCTTGGGTAGCGTAGATTCAAGTTTGTTCAAATCATAACCCCTGGGGGTAGGGTGGGGCCAAAATGGCCGATCAAAGTTTAACATAGGAGTATATAGGAAAAATCTTTTCAAATCTTCTTCTCAAGAACCACTGGGCCAGGAAAGATGAAACTCATGTGGAACCATCCTTGGGTAGCGTAGATTCAAGTTTGATCAAATCATGACCCCCGGGGCTAGGGTGGGGCCAAAATGACCGATCAAAATTTTACATACATGTAGGAATATATAGGAAAAATCTTTTAAAATCTTTTTCTCAAGTACCATTGAGACAGGAAAGATGAAACTGATGTGAAATTATTCTCAGGTAGTGTAGATTCAAGTTTGTTCAAATCATGACCCCCTGGGGTAGGGTGGGGCCAAAATGGCCGATCAAAGTTTTACATAGGAATATATAGGAAAAATTATTAAAAAATCTTCTTCTCAGGAACCACTGTGCCAGTAAAGATGAAACTCATGTGAAATTAGCCTCAGGTAGTGTAGATTCAAGTTTGTTCAAATCATGACCCCCGGGGGTAGGGTGGGGCCAAAATGGCCGATTAAAGTTTTACATAGGAATGTATAGGAAAAATCTTTTAAAATCTTTTTTCTCAAGTACCATTGAGACAGGAAAGATGTAACTTATGTGAAATTATCCAGAGCCATGATTAGTAGTACTAGTATTTATATTGAAGCATTCTCATGTAGTGTAGAATTAAATTTGTTCAAATCATGACCCCAAAGGGTAGGGCCACTATGGTGGATCAAATAAACGAAAAAATCCCAAGAACAGAAAAGCTATATTTAGTCATATTGGCGTGTAAGCATCCTCATGTATTGAAGATTTAAATTTGTTCAAATCATGGCCCTTTAGGATAGGGAGGGAAACACTGGGGAATCAAATTCAAATTATTACGAAATAATATATAGGAACAAAATGTTTAAAAAAGAAATCTTTTTATCAATAACAGCAAAGTCATATGCTGTATTGATATGAAGGCATTCTCAAATAGTAATAAAATTGAAGCCCCCCCCCCCTTCACCTCAGTAAACTTTTAGTTCTGATCTGATATGTGTTTTTTCCTAGCTGATGTGCTCAGGTGAGCGATGTGGCCCCTGGGCCTCTTGTTTTAACGGAAGTTGCATTTTTAACATAGCAACCGATGTTTCAATGTTTCAATTTCATTGTCATTTCTCATCAAGTTATTTGATAATTTTTGACTATATACTCGTAAAAAGAGTTTTAAAAAGGTATTACATATATATAAAAGGAAATTTTGATTTTCCGGTCGCATCATAATGACGTGGTGTATAAAGTGCATGGTTAATAAAAAAACTCTTCAACTCGTAAAAATTGTTTTGAATATGTTATAGCTGCGAATGCTGCCAATGATACAAGAATAATTTCGTTTTCACATTTTGCACAGTGCCTTGCAGCATAGCCTATTTTGCAGAAAACATAGGAATTATCACGTGCATGATCAAGATCCAGGGTGCACGTGGTTCGGTCATTTTTATTTCAGACTGTCTTCAAAGCAATACAAATAATTTTTTTTTAAATAAGTACGGATATACATATTTTAATGCATTTGCTCATCAGATATATATTCATCGATGTAATAAAGTCCATAGGAGTCTGAAGCAAATTGAAAGGGTGGCTAATTGAAAGTGGGGGGGGGGGTTAAACCAGCAAAAAAGATAAACCCCAATTTTCAATACAAAGAAAATGTCTATCCTTGCAAGGAAGTGGGGGGGGGGGGGGCTAGGCGCCCCTAGCACCCTCCGGTTCTGACGCCTATGAAGTCTATGATAAAAGAATTGATTGTAAATGAAAATATACGCTTTTCAAGATTCTACTTCAGCTTTGAATATCTTGCACTTCCATTGCATGGATTTGCTTTCAGAATTGTGAAAGTACTTTTTCAAATGCTAAATTGTTTGCGGCTAATTTGATGTTTTACAACAATTTTTAATTGTGGAAAATATAAATTGAGTCGAAGATATTTTAGACACTTCTTATGCTGAGCAGTGATGATTTGTTATTTGAAGTTTCCTTGTAGTTTAAACAATAATACAATGGCATAAATCTAAAAGTCTGAAAAATTAATACTTTTAGTGTGATTTTTTGCTATATATACTTTCATTTCATATGAATATAATTAGATATGAATATTAAAAAAAAAAAAAAAAAACTATAGCTATTTCTCTCAGATTTTAAAGTTAAATCATTTTTGCCTAAGTGCATAACCATAAAATGTTAAATAAGATACATTTGTGCGGAGTTAAAAAGATTGTTGAATTATAATTATTTGAACATGTGTTATAATAAAGTTACAGACACTCTTGTTAAATATTACCGACACCGAAATAAATTTCTTTTTTTCTGAAATAAACAATTAACCAGCCGATATTGAAAAGTAGATATATTTTCTGGGATCATTTATATGTAATTTTTGGATTATTTATTATAAATTGATTTTGTTAAGAGAAAAGATATCGAGTTTATCAATACACTCTTTTTCATGTTAGCTATAATGGGTCTTTCCGTTTACCATAACGGGCCTCCATACCCGTAACCATGCAGACAGAAATAATCTTTTTCTTGTTTAATTCAATAAACCCTTTCCAGTTTAAGTTGACGATTGTAAAAACATTAATTTGTGCACATTAATGCGCAATAAGTGAGATTCAAACAGGCTTATATATCCCCGCAATCATCCGTTGCTATGTTAAAAATGCAACTTCCGTTAAAAAAAAAGAGTGCTCGCATTTTCAAACGCAACGGTAGAAAATTTATTAAAATTCAAAACATGCAAGCATGACAGTTTTTGTTCATTGTAATACCCACCATGACGTGCGGTTCAAACGCCTTGCATGGTATCGGGTGAAATTGAGGGTATCCACGACTGGAAATATAGCGTAATTTCACTATAATAGTGAAATACCACTATTATAGCGGAATTTATGTTTCCCCCTAACCTGACAAAATAGGAACGGAGCAAACACGGACCTCCAAAACATCAGAGGTGAGATCAGGTACCATGGAGGAGTGAGCATCCCTATCGACCGGCCACACCCGCCGTGTGCTCCATATCATGATCGGGAAATTACGGGAAAAATCCTTGTATGATTAAAACTCCTTGGATAATTAACTCAGTTAAAATCAGAATGAAACTGTCGATAAACATATGGCTTAATAATAAATTTTATTTGCTGACAAGGTCAATGTATCGACCATAGACCTTACTAAATGATGACTTTAAACGAGACTACTGACATTATTGCTTATTCAACCTGTTTGTCAGTAATCTCGTTTAAGAAATTGTTCATACGTCAAACATGCTCTCTTGCGTCTCGAATCAACTGAGAGATATGGACTCCGTATGCAGGTGATCAAGGTATATTACTTTATAAGTAAGGGGAAATGACGATTAAAAAGTAAAGTCATCACGTTTATCATAAAGCTTTATGGTTAGATAACCATTAATGTTATTTTTGTAGTAAAAGATCCAAATATGAAAGAGATGAGATGTGTCAGACTCTGTGGTATCTTTTATTTCAAGCTCACCGGAAAATATCTTGTCGACATAAGAATGAAAATAACCATTATTTATTTACAATGCGTAATCAATATACATGTATCTAAATGTCGAGTTAAAGGTCACAGCAAGTGTTTTCTTTTCACGT